CAGGTGCGCATCACCATGCCCACCTAATTTTTGTATTTTTAGTAGAGATGTGGTTTCACTATGTTGGTCAGGCTGATCTCGAACTCCTGACCTCATGATCTACCCATCTCAGCATCCCAAAGTGCTGGGATTACAGGCTTCAGCCACCACACCCGGATTAAATTATAGATTATCCAGTTCAACTCAGGGTTGGTGCATTTATTGACCCATTTATGAATGGATTGAGATGAGGTCGATGATTAATTAAGTGGGAGATGGCTCTACTCAATCTTTAGAAATACTGAATGCAAAAGTGGGGTGACTATAAATAAGCATCAGAAGACATCAGAGAGGAGAAACACAGATGACTCTTTGATCTCCTACCCTTTTTCTACTCACCTGGTATGTTTTCCATCCTGCCTTATTCTATATTGCTTTAAAGGATGTTTAGTTTTTAAAAGCACCGTAGATACCCACTGAATGTCTGCATACTTCAGCAGTTGCCTCTTAATTAGAATAGTGAATGGCCATAAAATGGTCAATGCAACAATTGCCTATGAAGTTCAGTAGAGCAAAAGCAATCATCATGAAAACAAATTAGGCTTTGCAATTTACCCACAAATGAATAGTGTAGCTTCAGACAGGAGCCTACACTTTAATACCCAGTCAAAGGGGAAGAAAGCACCCTTCCCACGGTGGTGCTGCTTTTCAGCTATGCAGCATTGGCACCCACTTTCAGCTCAGTGTCACTCTCTCAACCCTCTTCTCCATAAAGAAAGGTGGAACCAAATCATTAAAGGAAATACAAGAGAAGTAAACTCAGGGATGAGAAGTCAGCACAGGGAAGAAGTGAGCCAACCAGGTACTCTGGCTTCATTACCACTACAAATGGAAGGGGTGTTAGGTCAACATTTTTCATCTAAGTGTGAAAATAAGCATCATGTTAATAGAACTGTTTTGTGGACATTATTTATTTTACCTGTGTGTTTTTTCATTGGGTCATATCCAATTTGTTTTTAATCCAAAACCTGATTTTTAAAATCTGGATCTAGTCCAAAATAAAAATGGCAACTGAGTATTTTTAATGTTCAGCAGCACAGTTATCAAATAGATAGACCTGAGCAAAAAATGAAAAGAACTTCTCATATGGTGAAAATAAATTAATCTAGAAGTATGCAGCAGTAGCTATAATCACATCAACACTTTTTGTCTCAAAGTAGAATCTACATGACTTGAGAAAAATACAGTGAATGGTAATACTGTCTTGTGTAGTGCCTAACTCCAATTACCACTTCATCCTTCTACGTAAGTGATGTTTTTTTTTCATACCCTTTCAACAAACATAATAATGTTTTCACATACTCCTGATGCTGGAAACAGAACATGACTCTCTTTCAGACTTAAACAGGGGAGTGTATCTGTACATGTGTCTGTTTCTGGGTGTAAGCATCCAGAATGTTCTCTTTTTCTTTAGAGGTAATAAAGAAGTCTGAGAGAGTGTTGGTGAACTACTATTTCATTTTGTAGGAGAAGACATGAAAGTTCAAATAGAATAAGCGACTATTGGTTTTAAAATTTATTCTCACGGGATTTCCCAGAATTTTCTGGTCCTATTTATTACACTATCTGGAATTGTAGAATATCATAATAATTTGTCATATGATTATTAGAAAGTGGTAACTGGCTATTCGTGACAATTTTTGTTACAAACTAATTGAGGAAAATTAGGAAGAAATAAAAATTTACAGGTTGTGGTTGGTTCTAGAAAAACACATATTAAAATAAAGGAAGCACTTATTTGGCACATTTGAATTGGCTCCTCAATATCTTTTTCCAAGTGCCAGTCCTGGCTGCAATTATAGGTAATACAGTTTTCTGAAAAAACAAACTCTCAGACAGCTTTTGACTATTATTCAAATTTTCTTTAACTCAGATTAAGTAGCTATTAGTGTTTATTCTGAAAGGAAAAAAAAGATGGAACTTGAAACCCAGGCTTTGTTAGCAAGTCACTGTTTAGGGTGTTTCAATCTTCATCTGAGTCCAAATTCCACATTTACCTTTCTCTGCTCAATTTCCCCCTTTTTTTGTTTTGTTTTGGGATAATTCCTCTCAAGAAGAGATTTGGGGTGTTTGCGTAACCCATGCACCATCTAGTGGGAACAGATGGAAAATCCATTTAGAAAAATAACCCATGATAGCCTTCCTGAGGCCATTGGCAAAGTATAGTTCTTTGCCTTAGAGACTGTGCTTAATAAGATATGCCATTTCTTTTAACGAAATAAACTATTAGAAATTATTTTCGGTAACCTTTGAACTACTTGTTGGTACTTATCAAATAGATTTTTATGGCAAGAAGAACTGTCCCTTGATTTTATATGTTGGAATTCATTGGGAATAATTCCAATTATGTTTTAAGTCAGGTAGTAATCACTGCTCACTTACACCCTTGTCAGAGCTAGTGTGGTTCAGGGATTGATTAATGCTCAAACTATGGGGGCAAACTAGCTGGGATCGAATTTCTGGCTTGGCTTCCTATTTCCTGAATGACCTCTGGCGAAATCCCCTATCCCTTCTGGCTTTCTGCAAACCTTTCCTGTAAAAATGAGTTAAAATAAAAAGCTGCATGTTAAGCACTTACAAAAGTACTCAACACATATTAACTGTTCAATAAATATTAGAAAGTATTAATGATTATGAAACAAGATTATATGATTATGATTACAGAAAAACATGTCACACTTTTATATCTTCTCAGTTCTCAGTCAAGCCAATGTAAGAAGCTGAAGCTGTTCCACTAATACCATAGGCCTGTAATTAACTATGGCTGGCTGCTCCCCAAATAGATAGAATTTACAGTCCCATGGGAATTTCAAAGGGTCAATATGGGCCACTGGAGCCCACTTATGACCCAACAGCAGTGCATCCTTCAGACAATGTATGTGGAGGGGTGTTAGCAGAATGGAATTTCTGTCCCCAGGGGAGGTGGGCCAAAAAATCTTCTCTTTCAGTCTTTTAATGGATATTGGTCCTTTCTTGAATTTTTCACCAAAGTATTTTTCTGCTTCATGTTCATCTTTCTTTAGCCAGCCCATTGTTCATTAGCTGGACAGCGAACAAGGGAGAATGATGTTAAAATACATTCTAATTTGTTTTGTTATCCTGGTTTCATGAGCAGTCAGAGAGAAGGATATTCATCACTGTTGAAAGCACCATGGGTTAAGCAAGGCTTCTTTAGAAAGAGGGCTACAGTATCTAAGATTTGACTGATGGAAGGATAAAGGAGCAGAATGCAGGTGCTACAAAAAGAATTAAGACACAGGACTGGTGACTCAGTGAAAGGTACGCAGGCAGTTACGGGAAACATGTGAGCACTGACTGCCTGGGCACGAAAGACCTTGGCATCCTCTGTTCTATTTTGTCTCAGCCTAAGGCTGGCCATTAATAAATTGTGTCTAAAATATACTCTCAGTGTCCATGACTACCCTCCACTATAAACTGCATTGGCTCCTTGCCCTTCTGTTTATTAAAAAAAAATTATCGAGCATCTGCTTCATAACCGTCAGTAAGTGGTGTCTTCATACATAGACAGTAGTGAACTTCTAGTAATAAATCAGGGACCAACTTCCTTCTGTTCACTTTCATAGTTAAAGTATAATCTGTGCATTTAAACAACCTCTCAAGAAATATTTTTCGAACACCTACTATGCACTAAATACATCTGTGAGGAACCCATTGGGAATCAGTGACCCAGATGGACAAAGTGCCAGCTCTCACAAAACTTAGATTTTAGTGGAGGGAAATACATAAACATGTAAAACAAACAAGGAAAGGACTAGATAAAGTGATCGTACTTTGAGTTGGATGGTCAAGAACTAACTCTCTCTGAGAAATGTAAATTTACTCTCAGATCTGAACAGTAAGTAGAGCCAGTCATATAAACAGTCTTCCAGCAGAAGGAACAGCTAGTGCAAGAGAAGGAAACAAATTTGACATGCATAAGAAACAGCATTCTCTAGCTGAACATGTTCTTTATTTCACCTCCTGGATTTTCTACCTGTTCTCCCTAAGAAGGGATGATTTGCAGCTAGCAGTCTCTGGCAAGCTGGATAATTTCCTGCCCTATTCTGAAAATGCCATCAAAAAAGAGTCCAAGTAAGACCTCTCTCAATATTGCTCTATATCCAGAAAAAAAGCCTAGAGAAAGCATATCATTCTTTAACTAGGTGTTGGGAGATTGTTAAGGTTTCATTTGAGCTGAACACTTTATATGCATGATCTCATTTAGGCTTCAAATTACTCTTTTGATAAGGGAAAATATTATCTCACTATTATGGATAATTACAGCACACAGTAAGTGGTGAAGATGAAATTCAAACTCAGGTTTCTCTGAAGCTTCCTTAAAGGATACAGAAGTAGAGGAGCCGTGGGTGGCATCACTCTACTCAGAAGCATCCTCCTACCTCTGCATACCATGCAGGTGACTAAGAGGTCAATGGAATCTCCAGTTATGTCTCTATGACCAGAATACATGCACATACACTCACACTCACACGTGTACCCAGAGACGTATACACACATACACACATTCACTTACATACACTGAAAACCCCAGCTGTCTAAACCCTTCTCATTTCTGATGGGTGATATCCTTATATAATGGTGAGGAACAGCAGCATTGCTCTACAAGGAGCACTATGTTGTCTAGAAAATTGGAGCCTCGGAAGTTTAGGAAAATGTACCGAAGGAAAAAAAGAAATCGTTAGGTTGTGCAAAATAGGAAACAGAAATTATCAATTAGGTCTTTTGTTTAATGGAATGCCGCAATTTTATTTTTTTTAAAAAATCAAGTCTGATTCATCAAGAAGTTGGTAATCTAAATGGAGAAAACATAATATAAGGAACTACTTTAGCAGTGGTAAGAAATTATCTGAGAATGGAGATTTACATGTTGGAAGAGGAAAATTTAAAAAAAAATCCAGAGTATTAATAAAGGCAATAAACAATGACCACTAATAGAGATCTTTATTATTATATCAACACACAGTGGTACATTTAACTGAATTTTGCTGAGAGTTTTAAAACCAGTCTGCCATTTGGAAAGCAGCCAGATGTGAAATATCAAGTATATTGTGGATACAAGAGTAGTTCTTCAAGTAAGCAGAGCATTCAGATGTGCTAGAAGATAAAAATAAGAGAAATTTAAAAGGAAAAAAATCATAGAATGGAACAGGGTATGTTCTATTATCTGTTAGATACAAACCAAGAGACATTTTAAAATTACCATAACCACAATGTTCCCTTTGATGTGGGCCCCTTAAGAGAGTTACAGAGAGCTATGAGGCTGTACTGTATCATTAAATATCTCCAGATTAAAGCCTGTCAGAAACAATACACACTGATTCACTGCAGGGTTTAAACATACCTGTGTAATCAAGCAGGGAACCCATGGATCACTGGTATAGAGCATCAACCGCAGTCTCATCAAAGGAGAGATTGTGATGGGTCATGGCTTTGGCATTTTTATAATTGCTCTTTTTGAACCGAAACTTACTAAAATAACAAACCTTCTTTCACAGATAGAAAAGAAAATATTTTCTTGTATTAAGCTAAACAATTAAGTTAGCTCTGGAAGGTTTCACTTTGCCTAAATCAGAAATGCTTGATAATATTTTAAGCCATTTTTAACATTCACAATAATTTGACTTATGTACTATTTATCAGACATACATTACATGGACATATATACAGAAACCATGTAAAACCATGTCAATGATATACTATTCAAATACACATACATATATAGTTATGCGTATATATCCTCAGAGAGATGCTGGAAATTAAATTAAGGAACAACAGTTTTTTATTTTTTAAAAAGGAACACAGCAAGTAATTAAGCTCTTGGAAAATAAAAAATATTATAACAGAAAAATATTTCATCAAAAAGGCTCAAAGTTAAAGAAACGTGATGCAGAAGTCAAATACCTAGTAAGTGAATTTTCAGAGGGAAGAAGAAGGACAGCTGAAAAGGCCCACTGAGTCTCCACGATAATGAACAACAACAATAAAATGATTTACACAGAGACCATCATCATGAAATTTCAGAATATAGGAATAAAGAAAAGATTCCAAAATTTTGAGAGAGAACAAAAAGATCATTTATTAGGATCGGGCATAAGAAAAATATCACAGTCTCAAGGCAACTCTAGAAACTAAAAAACAAACAGAGCTACATCATCAAGTTCTTTATGAAAAGGGTTTTCAAAATTCCATACCCAGCCAAGCTATTAATCAAGAGAAATAGTAGAATAAATACCTTTCGTGAACTTCTTTACAGGTAGGAAAGTCATAGGACATATTTTATATCAGTGAAACCATAATAATGTAAGAGAACATTTGCCAGAGGCTTCTGAGAAGCATGTTACTCTCCTTCTCTCTTCTGAACTTGAATGAAAATGTGGGTCTCCACAGAAATAGGCATCTTAATGATGGTCTCAGAGCCATGCTAGGTGCTGAGAATGGTGGAATGAAAAGAAGAAAAAGTAAACCCAAGTTGAAGAGATAAATGCATTCCTAATTGATGCAGTGGCACTTTAGGTTCCTTTCATGTTTGTTATTGAAGGAATAATTTTTTCACATCTACCAAAAATGTTAAGATGCAAAAATCTGTTTATAAAAGTTTAAAAGAAAGTTGTGTAAATTTACTCATGAAGCACCTCCTTTAAACAAATAATGCCACCTTTGCCCCGGAGATGTTAAATATGTTAATAGTTTCTCCATGATATAACTTATCTTCACTAAAATGGAGAAAGCAAGACAGAAAACAACGCCAGAGAGAGAGTATATTGTATATGCATTAAGTGAATTCTTGGTTGAGATGAGATATGTTTGAACTATTGTTTTTTTCCCAGTTGTGTGTACTGCTTCCTGTACTCATAAAAATGTTTACTGGTTGCATTAGGCCATTCTTACACAATACCTGAGCCTGAGTAATGAATAAGGAAAAAATGTTTAATAAGCTCATGGCTCTGCAGGCTGTAGAGAAAGCATGCTGCTGGCATCTGCTTCTGGTGAGGACCTCAGGGAACTTACAATTATGGCAGAAGGTGAAGGGGAGTCAGCGCATCATGGTGAAAGGGAGCAAGAGAGACAAGGGGATGGTGCCACACACCTTTAAACAACCAGATCTCCACAAGAACTCACTATTGCAAGGACAACACCAAGGAGATGGTGCTAAACCATTCATGAGAAATCTGCTCCCCTGACCAAAACATGTCCCACCAGGTCCCACCTCCAACATTGAGTATTACATTTCAACATGAGATTCAAGTGGGACAATCAGGATTATGTACTCAAGATTGATAGCTTGGATCTAAAAAGGGATTTGGAGGCCAACATGGTTAACATCTACATTTTAAAATGTGAAATATTAGACCTCAATGTAGGTCACTAACAAACTCGTGATCACAGTAGCAATTAAGGGTTGGCTGTGGGGTCTTGACAGACAAGAGACTGAACTCTAATCTAATTGGTCAGGTTTCCATTTAAAATGCAGTTCAATCCTGAAAGTGATCTCTGTATTCTTAATGTGGGGGGAGGGGAATACCCAAAATCAATGATCAAATATCTCCTTTTCTTATTTATATACCTTTCCTGACTACCAGTCCAGATTTCTCTCCTGTACCATGCTTGAATAATCTTGTTTTTTACCTTCTCTTTTGTTACTTGTACAGTATAAAAGGATAATCATGTATAATAATATGTTTGCATAAAAATTTCCGTAACCAGTAGAAATATCTTCTACAAATAATAATAATAATAAAAGACAATTAAATTGGATTAGCCTGTTCACCTCCTCTATACCTATGTATCTGCCTATGGAGTAGCCTTGGTCTCAAAATAGCTTCCCCACATTCTGTCACCATGTCTAAAATGTCACCACTCATCTTTTTGGATCTTAAAATATTTTTCTGGTTTCCTAAATCTGATAGCACGAAACCTCCTGGGGATGAATTATTTTGACATAGACATTGAGAGTCCATTGACAGAGTTGAGAAAAAATTATGAAAATCAGCTCTTTCAAAGCTTTTAAATGTTTATTATCAAATGTGGAATTAAGATAGCTGCATAAACCACACTTAACACTTTTGCTTACCTTTAGAGTTAATACCCTTAAAAACTCTGATATAGAGCAAGATTTTAGTTTTGAAGCCTACTAAAATAAAATTATTAGATAATTGTCATGAACAGAAAGATATTCTTCTTTCGTGCCTGCTTTTTGAAGGGATGAATTATTTAAGAAATGCTTTCTATGTTGCCTTGACCCTAAAAGTACTTTATTTTTACTTTGTTATCATTATTTCTTGGAAGGCCAGCAAAGCACTTGCTCTGGAAGAGCGTGTTGTCTCTGTGACCAATATAGAATTTTGCTGGTTCTAGAACTGCCTTGGGATATTGGTGGTGGGGCATGGGGTTCATTACGCTTTTGAAATTTTAGAGTGAGCTGGCCGGTTATCAGTGCTATGAAAGACGATCCATCCAGCTGACTGCTTAGCTTGGAGATAGTTTCCATTGGCAGACAACATAAAGAGGATACTTGCTATAACCATGAAATATATATTTAGAATGAATAGCAAGCATAACTTTATATCCCTGAATGGACAAAAAAATGATCTATTTACTCTTAGATCATCAAACCAACAGTCTTAGGGGTCTCAATAAAAAAACAAAAAAACAAAAAACAAAAAACAAAAAAAACAAGAAAAAAAAAGCATTTGATCAAATCCCTGGTGATCAGAATCATAGAATGTGTCAGTTAAATCCTCTCCTGCTCTATCCCCTCCTCCTACTCTCAGATAATCCTCCTGTGTCCCTCCTCCCTGGAGCTGCAGTAACGTTGCCTTAGATAACTGCCTTAAACCAAGATAGTGCTCCTTCCCTTGACAGAACCTGGGATGACATCCTCATTTCAGAAAATGATTTGATACTCCTGAAGGTGCTCCCTGCTACAAGGATCTAAACTCAGGGTAAGGCAGCCCCTGCGTCCACTTTATCTAAATTCTCCCTCCTGCAGTAGAGCCGAGATGAGCCACTGTACCCATCACTTGGAGACCCACTTCCTAATCCTTGTACTCAATGCATTCTGGAAGGTTATTAATGGATTTCTTGGTGGTTTGCTTTGTCCTCATCCCAGAAAAGAGTTCTCAAACAAACAAAACAAAGGTAAGAAAAACCTCAAAATATATTAAAAATACATTAGGGACCTAGGTAGTTGCATAATCTCACAACACTTTAAATTAATATCTGTGCTGCATCCTTGCCTGACCTCAAGGAGTTAAGCAGGATTAGAGTAGAGACAGACAGAGAGATCAGACATGCTCTAGGACAAAAATAAGCAAAAGAAACAGGCTATGCTTTCAGGCATGGATTAATTTAATTTTATGGGAGGGCAGAAGGGATTGTTTAGGGGCTTACATCCACAGATGCATCTCAAATACTGAGGAAGTTTGACTTTGTTTTTCTGACAGATATGTAGAGGTGAGCAAAAAGAATGACTCATTATCCCCTCCGAAAAGGAAAGACTATAAAGATGTATTTTAATTATTTAAATGTTATTTCCATATAATACTCTTTGCACAGACTATACTTTTTAGCTCCTTGTTAGGATGAGGCTGATATTCAATGTAATTCCGGTTCAGAATCACAATAATTCCTTAGAATAAATATGGAAGCATTTAACCTGTCAATGTTTATTTGGGGCATCACTAATAAAAAACATTTTGAGGAGCTCAATTTCACACTTTGCACATGGAATGCAAGAATGTCTGACTTACTGAGTCATTGAAATGAGAATTAGCTTATACACAGAGCAAGCTCCAGCACATGTGAGGGGCTTCCTGCCTAACATAGTTCAAATGGGAAAGATCTCTCCTGGGTACATGTGGCTTTTCTTGCCAAGCTTGAGCGGGGAGAGTACTGGGCAGGAAGCCCAGCAGCCTCAATTCCTGTCCTGGCTGTGTCACTAACCATCCTGCGGCCTTTATCACATCAAAGGACTCTGTTTCCTAAAGTGCAGGGAAAGGGAGAAAGTGAGAAGCCAGAAGATCTCATATGGTTAAAGAGCTTTGAAATGCAAACGTTTTAAAAACAAGTGGTATTACCTATGACCCCAAACACCTTTTAAGAAGATTCACTACCTGTGAGGCAATTTCACATCTTTAAACAAGGTCCTAAACACACATAAAAGGATGGTTGGGAAACTCTTCTCTCTTCCAGGCTAAATTAGAGATGCCTATTAACCAACTCAGAGAAGTAGCACAAAGAGAAGAAAAGTGAATGAAAAATCACCAGTACTTTCTAATTTAGCTGCAGGGGCCATGTCTAATGCTCCAATTTAAATAACATATGTTTTCCCACAATATCTTCAGTCACTAGATACTTCACTCATGCTAAGTAATACTGGATGTTTCACTCATGCTAAGTAATACTTCCACGGAGAAATGAAGGACAGGTTGGTGAACCGTGCCTCTCTGAGACACCAAAAAGCCTGGCATTTCACAGCACTGCAGCTTTATGATAACACTAGAAACAGCTCAAACCATGTGGTCTTCTTTAAGTCACTTTACCCCTCTGCCCTACAGCTTCACCAGCTTCAATGAAGAGTGATACCTCTGTTCTCAAATGTGACTCTATGAGTTAATGGAGCAGGCAAATGACTGCTCTGCTTCAAGGAAGGCAGAACTGGCTCCTTATTCCATCAGGTTTTGTTTTTCACAGCTTTATTGAATTATAATGTATATAAAACTAACTTCTCAGATTTCTTTTCTGTTTTGTTTTCATTTGTTTGTTTGAGATAGCCTCTTTCTGTCACCCAGGCTAGAGTGCAATGGCATGATCATGGTTCACTGCAGCCTGGACCTCCTGGCTCAGGTGATCCTCCTGCGTCCGTGTCCTAAGTAGCTGCAACTACAGGCACCTGCCACCAAGTCCAGCTAATTTTTAAATTATGCATAGTGACTGGTCTCCCTATGTTGTCCAGGGTGGTCTTGAAGGTCTGGGCTCAAGTGATCTGTCCACCTGGGCCTCCTAAAGTGGCAGGATTACAGGCATGAGCCACCATGCCTGACCAAACGTCACAAATTTCAAGTGTACACTTTGATATTTTTGACATATGCATACAACCATGAAACCGTCACCACAATTAGAATACTGATCATATCCATCATCCCCCACCAAATCTCCTTGTGCCCCTTGGTAATCCCTCCCTTCTACCCCTTCCCACCCCCTCTCATCTCCAAGAAACCACTGATCTGCAATCTGTGACTATATTTTGTATATAGCTTGTATTTTCTGAAGTTTTATATACATTACATTATATACTATATTATATATTCAACATCATTATTTTGATTCGTACAACCATAGCTAATTCCTTTTTATTTTTCCATCAAGTTTTCCCATCCAACCTCCTAAAACTTTTAATTCCCACCTGAGACATACCTCTGAATTCAATGATCTTTAACTTGCCGCCTGTGAAAATGTAAATCTGTACCCAAAATGTGCCAGCTGACACCTCTGTTAGGGGTTAGGTGGCAGCTAGCTGTGAATGGATGCAAATAGAAGTCAGGCCCCCAGGAAGGGAGAGAAAACATTGACTGGGGCAGCAAGAGGGAGAAAAGAGACACTTGTAATTTCTGCTGCTTTAGTGTTGCCTACCGTCATCCTATTTCACGGGGATACTCTAATTAGTTTGCCTGTTTTTAAAAGGTGAGCGATTGTCTTTCATTCTTTGCTGGTTCACGGCTCGCCAGTCCCATCCCAGTCCTGGGGTTGCTGTTTTCCCTCACATCTTCCCACTGTCTTTGAATATAAAGATGCCCACCCTCTGTTGCGGGGGCTTAAATATGCTCTGGACTGCTGGGACTACATATGTGGGGTGTCCACAAGTCTCTCAGGATCATCAGGAATCATCAAAGTCTTTTGCAGTGAAGAGACTCATGTGCTTTCCCCAAAGCAAGAAGATGTGCTTCTCTGAAGGGTTTTTCAGCCTTGCTCAGACCCCAAACGTCCTCAGCAGTCTCCTTGTGGCACCCTACCCTTCCCACAGTGTCTAGCCAGGTCCCATCCTCTCATCTCTTACCCCTCCGAACTCCTCTCGGAGAAGTTCCTACCTCCTGTCCTCTGCCCCATAGCCCCTAATTCTTCTTTGATAGCCTGCTTCTAAGAAGGCAGGAGGGCAGTGTGGGTGGAGTAATCTGGTTCTTCAGTTTCTTTCCAAATCTAGTATTGATTCCTAACAGCTGGGGCTTGCTTACCTCAGGTCTTTCACCCTGCTGATTATCAAGAATGTGACTTCGGTAATTAAAAAGAAAAAAGAAGAGGAGGAGGAGAGAGATAGGCAAATTCTGTCTTGATCTTTTGTTCCCAGTAAAACAATCTTCTTGAGTTAATGTGGGAAAAAGGCTGTGCATAAATAAGTGGGGAAAAGTAACACATAACATTAATATTTCAAGATTTTATCTTGCTATTAATATACATATTTAAATAATTTATATGCATTTGCAATTTCCTGATATTAATGGGTTCAGAGACTTTTTAAATGAAATTTAGTAAAATATTTACAAGTCCTAGAGATATCTACAATGTAACAATAAGAATTAATCATCAAAATACATCTTTCAACCTTAGGTTATTTGGCTGTGGTTAAACTAAAAGGTTCCTTTGCAGCACTTTAGAAAGACAAAACCTGAAATTAAGAAAAACAAAAAAAAGATTATCATCCACAACCACTTACCAAATGGTAACTGTGCTATTTTGAGTGAAGGTGGCGTTGTGGACTGAACCTGCACAAGGCCCTGCGGACCACTTCAATATCATCACTTCCCTTTCATGGGATCCTTTCTGATTCCTCAACAATGCAGTGAATTTGGCAGAGAAAAGAAAAGAGCCATTAAGTGGAGGGAAAAAAAGCCTGCTATTAAAGAAAAACAGTGAGGCTTTTAACCAAAGTTGCTCAAGGTTTTCAGAAGGGAATGCAGTTTCCCACATGCCACTGACTAGTTAAGAGGCCTCTCCACCGAGACCACATGGTAGTGATCTGTGCACCCTGGAAACTCATCAAGAAAACTATTGCAGTGGATGCAATCCAAGGGCTGGGTGGAATGGCCAATTCCATCTACAAATGTGCCCTCACATGCAAATTTGAGAATTTCAAAGGCCATTCATTCATCAGGTCTTCTCTCTATGACCAGCTTAACCAGAAGCCAATAAGAAAATGGATATCCCTCCCTGTTTCAGAGGTAGCCTTAACACAATACTCCTTTACAGCCAAGAATTCCTTTATTTTTATTTGATGTGCATGGGCTTGCCTGGCCTTTCAGGGTCCAAGAAGAAATGTATAGTTTCAGAACCATAACTAATACTCATGTTATATATTTTTAATGAAATAATTAAATGTCCATGTAACAAGTCTACTATACTTGGCAGGTATCACATCCTCTATTATTTCCTATTTAAAAAAGCATATGGTTCTCCTTGCAATTTCGAAGATACTGTCGAAAAATGAATAGTTGTGGATGATTGCATTTAAATGACATCCTAGAAAAAGGCTTTACATAAAGCACTTAACCCCCTGGTTGCCAGGGGTTAAGTATAAGAAAGGGGATGACCATAAACGGCAGTAGGTTGGAATTTGGGAAGTGATGGAGCTGTTTTATATCTTCAGAGTCATAGGACTCTATGCATTTGTCAGAACTCATAGAACTACACACCCAAAAAAAGCAAAGTTTACTGTATGTGAATTTTTTTAAGTGCACTAAGTCATAATAAGTTGGTATCTATAAGGGATTGAATTTGGAAAAAATAATTGAAATGACAGGAATTAAACTCCTGTTTTTCCCATGATGTCTGTGGAAATCCTTTATGTATTATTTTTAAATAATTCTCGATTGCCTTCTTAACAATGAATAATATGTTTATTACGGCATATACAAATAGCAAAATAAGTGAAACTACAGCATTATCCAGTGTTCAGAGCCCCTTAAACATTATTCCTAACCCACACCAAGTCTTTTCTACCATCTCTTACTATGCCCTTCTCAGGTGAAAATGTTTTAACTAAAAGGATATAATTTATTTCAACAATAAACACTTGATGTTAACCAAAAAGTTCCATCCTATCAGAAAGGACTATAAAGACTAGAGACGAATTAATCATGATTGCATGTCAGATCCACCATCTTTTGAGTTCTTCCCCTCCCCTCCCCTCCTCTCCCCTCCCCTTCCCTCCCCTCCTCTCCCCTCTCCTCTCCTCTCCTTGCCTTTTCTTTTGAGACAGAGTCTCAACTCTGTCATTCAGACTGGAGTGCAGTGGCACAATCTCAGCTCATTGTAACCTCTGCCTCCTGGATTCAAGAGATTCTCCTGCCTCGGCTTCTCAAGTAGCTGGAATTATAGGCACAGGCTACCACACCCGGCTAATTTTTGTATTTTTAGTAGAGACAGGGTTTCATCATGTTGGCCTGGCTGGTCTTGAACTCTTGACCTCAGGTAATCCACACACCTCGGCCTCCCAAAGTGCTGGGATTACAGGTGTGAGCCACTGGCCCCAGACTTTTGAATTCTTATTAATATCTATGTCTCCAGAAGCTCTTCAGCCAGCTCATGTGTTAGTAGCCAAAGAGCTTTACCCGTGGGTAGAAACTGCAAATGTGTTAATTAGGTGATTTGCTTCCATGCTTTGTGAACAGTGCTCATTTTTCCTTCCTCTTGCCTCTGATTTATCCTGCCCGATTCTCTTCCCGCAAGAGTCTCTTTTATCCTTTAAACTCAAATAAGATAATCATGGTCCATTCATTTCCTTCTGGTTACTTTGTGTGTGTGAGCATGTGTATATTTAATCAAAAAACGAGGAATGAAGTAGCCTGCAATACTTTTCTTTTTTTCTGGCAGAAGTAGTAGTATTTTAAAACATAAATAAAGCTTCTTTTAAGTTTCCAGTTGGTTTGTGGAGACAAGCAACATTAACTAAGATCAATTTATGGTGTTATTTCTCAACCAATTAAAAAGAGCATTTGCTAGTTCTAAGACATATTCCTATAGGAATATTCCTTACAGTTCTTCAGTTTAGTCAATAGAAACAAAACACTTAAAAGTCCTTAAGCTATTCTTCTTCCTAGTCTTGATTCATTTGGCAGCCCATTAAAAAAATAATGTCATGATGAGATTTATAACAGTGGAAATATATCAGTAGTTTTTATGGTCTCTAAACTGTGATTTTTCCCTTGCACTCCTCCTGAAAACTGTTTAAACTCTTTGTGAATACTTAGAAAGTTTGTTCTTACATGGGTAAATGACTTCATAAGAGAGAAAACAGTTTGGTTGAAAAGGGTAATTTTGGTTTGGGTTAATAACAAAAGAAACTTAAACTTACAGAAAATTCAGGTCATTGATGATCTGAAGTAGCACTAAAACATACTAGAGACTAATTTGTGTTCCGCAAATCTGTATTCTTTCCAACAACTTCAGGGCTGGGATTGTATTTCTCCCTGGCCTCACAATGCGTCACTGTAGCCTTGACTACAACAGAGCCATTGATTCAGAATACAAGGAGGGAGTAGGGACTATCCCTGAACAAGAGATGCCCTGCGACTCTCCTGGACCTGAGCAAATTCAAACTTTACCAAATATTCTATGCTATTTTACACTCAATGTGACAGTTTCTTATAGTAAATTATTCAAGATTCATCAATTGAAAGTACAGATTGTTCACCAAAAATATCAACTTGTAAAACCAAACCTTCAATGAGTTCAGGATATGCTTTTTTATGTTGGATGATGTGATGACACATTAAAAAAATACTTCAATATATATTTAGAAACTAAATAGTGAGGAAGAGATTAAAAAAGACACAGAAAATCAGAAACTAGGCATAATTTCCCACCATGTTTCTGAATTTCATCTATTGGTTTTGCACTAAATTCTTTCATATTTTTGGATTGCTAGGATATGGAATTGAAAATCATTAAATACCATAGTTTATTCTGAAATAAATATTAATAATCTTTTCAAGAATGTTATTACATCAAAAATAATTTCTGATGTGTACAGATATGCTAAGATAAATTTATATTGGTGTCTGCTCACTGTAATATTCTGCATCTTTTTATCACACATCAATAGCCAGAAGTTGAGCTTGATGTCTTCATGTTATTTTATAAACCACTGTGATTATTATCTTTTATCATTACTAAATCTCCATTTTAGTATAATCCAGATTTTCTTCCCTTCAAAGGGAAAAATGTTATACACAGAGCAGAAATCATTATATTATTAGGTAGAGCCTTAATTGTCTGGTTTCAGAAAAACAGACCAAGATGAATGCGGAACTCAGTGAGAGACTGGCTTACACCTTCAACGTCTCCTCACCACCCCAGACAGTCTCCTTGTGCATGGCATTCAAGTGCACCAACAGTCTGCAGCTTGCTCCTTCAGCACATTCACTCCCACCAAATGCTTTTAAATAGAAAACACCCCAGACTGCTTATGATTTTTAATCCCACATTCACTCACAAAAAATAATTATGATGTCCTTAATATGTGTCAGACACTTTTTCAATATTGGAAATACATCAGTGAACAAAACAGAAAAAAAAATGTCTGCTACTGTGAACCTTACATTTTAATGGAGAGAGAGAGAAAAAGAGAGAACAAGTAAATAAATGATTACAACATTCTTTTCAATCAGCACTTCTCTCTTACAGCTACCTTTAAAAGACAATTATCCTTCCAAATTCATAACTTTTAGGTTTATATAAAGTGAATACATTACAGATTTTATTTATTTAACTCAATGAGGATACCAGCTAGGTATCATTGCCATTTGAAAAGAGAATCCAAATAACACTCATTTATAAATCAGGAATATTTAAATGAATGTGAAAATAGAGGTAAACCTGATTTTTCCAAAAGAGGTGAGAGGTAGGGAAGTCAATTGAACCTTTACCAGAAAATTGAATTTGCATATCTATAGAAAAGAATTTCTTTGCATTTTAGTGGGTTGAATGATAGGCCCGAAAAAAAACAGATGTCCATATATTAATTCCTAGACCCTGTGAATGTTAACTCATTTGGAAATTTTCTTTGAAGCTGTAATTAGGTTGAGGATTTTAAGTTGAAGAGATCATCCTCTATTACCAAGCTCAGGTCTAAATCCAATGACAAGTATTTTTATAAGACACCCACAGTGGACACTTAGCAGCAGCCATGGGGAAGGCAATGTGGTCACAGAAGCAGATGTTGGAGAGATGCAGCCACAAAACAAAGAACACCTGGAGCCTCCAGAAGCTGGAAGGGGAAAGAAATGGATGCTCCCTTGGAGGCTTCAGAAGAAGCGAAACCCTGATGACACCTTGATTTCAAACTTCTGGCTCCAGAACTATAAGAGAATAAATTTCTATCATTTTATGCCACAAAGTTACAGAAGCCTGTGGAAACTAACACACACTGCTATCAGTTACCCACAACTTACAGAACTATAAAATAGCTCTCATAGAATCAGGTAGCCAAAAGGGGTGATCTGTAGACAATGTGTAGTTTCCACTGATGAACCATTTCCTCCTACATACTTTAACAGCCATTCCCAGACCTTCTCTGCCTGTCAGAACTCTATGTATCCTTTAAAGCTAACTTCAAATGCCAGCAATGACTGGTTGACTGAATGACTGACAGAGACAGGAATGACTAACAGCCACTCTGTTGCCCAGATTGGAGTGTGGTGGCATGATCATAGCTCCCCGCAGGCTTGAACTCCTGTGCTTAAATCCTCCCACTTCAATATCCCAAAGCACACCTGGCTAATACACATATATATATTTTAGACACGGGGTTTCACTATAATGCCCAAGCTGGTGTTGAACTCCTAACCTCAAGTAATTTTCCTGCATTGGCCTCCCAAAATGCTGGAATTACAGGTGTGAGCTACCATGTCCAGCCTATTAATTAACTTCTATTACATATATATTGGTGCCTCCAACTAAGATGGAATGCCTTGTCAATAACTCCTTTTTGCATTTATGTCACACCCTTTACATATGCTTC